GAGGGCGAGGGCGAGGCCCTCGCTCAGGGAAGCAGGCTGTCTGCCCGCACGGGCTCAGGGAAGCAGGCTGTCTGCCCGCACGGGCTCAGGGAAGCAGGCTGTCTGCCCGCACGGGCTCAGGGAAGCAGGCTGTCTGCCCGCACGGGCTCCCGGCTGGGTCCTCGCGCTCAAAGGCAGGCGCTCCCCCGTCTCCGGCCCCTGCAAACACACGTGCTCCTTCCCCTTTACTCTGGGTTCCCTGTGGCCACCGGAGGCCCAACGATGATCCCTTGGTGCGCTCAGGCCCCCAGGCTGGGCAAAGTCAGGCTCTGAACCCAGGTTTCCTGAAACACCCACCCCCAACTCCCCACCAGGGCAACCTCAATAGATGATAGATTCCCGATACCCTTAAGAGAACCACAAACACAAGTTCAAGGCACACCCCAGGCCCAGAGGCTCAGGGAAGAACTCACTCTCCACATTTGCACTGGGGATACTGGAGCCACCGGTGGCCATTTAAATTTAAACAAATCAAATTTAAATAAAATCTAAGTGTAATATGGTGTCCTAGAACAGAAAAAACGACCTTAGTAGAAAAACTCATGGAATCCAAATAAAGTCTGACATTTAATTAACAGTAATTCACAATGTTAATTTCTTAGTTTTGACAAATGTACTGTGGTTATGTAACACATCAACGGGGGAAACTGAGTCAAGGGAAGACAGAACCTCTCTACATGGTCTCTACGACTTTCCTGTGAATCTAAAATTATTGCAAAATAAAGAAAAGGCACTAAGTTAAATTGAAGACTCAGTTCCTCAGAGGCACCAGCCACATTTCAAGTAATCAACAGCCACGTGCGGCTACCACACTGGCCAGCACAGGGAGAGACCGTTTACACTGTCACGGAAAGTTCGGCTGGACAACACTGCTCTATACTGCCTTCATTCTACCGGGCGACTCACGCAGGAAACTCCCAGAACCTCATTTTTCACTCACATTTCCTTTCCCTTTGCCTGTTATTATTTCTCCCTATAAATCCACACTGCATAGGAATCCAGCCCAAAGAGGATTTTTAATATCTGCAGTAGTTACTGAATATAGCGTGTGAGGTGTTCTTTTTTGGTTTAAAGTTTGCTTCTTACTTACACGGTCCTCACCCAGGCCTGGCATTAAATACCTCCAGTAAAGCCACCGAGTAAACACAGCTCCCGCAACTGCTGATGTTCAAGGAGGCGATGCAGGAAAAGGCCCCGGCCCACCCGGACCCTAAATAGCACCCAGCATTCAGAGTGGAATCGATTTGTGGGTGGGGTCTGGGTGCGTCTCCAGGTCTCCCTCCCCAGCCGGGAGCCCGCTGGCTGTGCTCACTGGCATTCAACACCCCCGCACTAACAAGAACCAGCCAGCTCTGCCCACGGGCAGCCCTTCAGACCCTCCCAGACGCTCACAAAGCTACAACACGGAAGTCAAGCCGGCCCTCGCCCTGCGCCCCGAGAAGGGCGGGCTGCCCGAGCTCGGTTCGGCGAGGTCGCCTTGTGGTTCCCCCAGATGCTCTTCCTGACCTGTTTTCCCACGTTCTTCTTCATGAGCGGCCACAAGGGACGTGTGTGGCCAAGAAACGTGGCTGAGTGTTCCACCTCACCCTCACCCCCACCCACTGTGCAGGTCACCTCCCCCTACTGCCAACCAAGGGCGGTCCGAGCAGAGCACCGTGCTGCCTGGTGGCTCCAGGGAAGCACGTCCCATGAAGGCAGCACACCTCCACTGCATTTAGCTGCGCCCCCAAACGGCACACTCAGAATGAAGTCCCCAACCCTGCCTCTGGCCGCCCGCTGGCGACCACCCTTCACATCACGCTACTCTCGGGCTCAGCCTTTTGTTCCCAAAGTGCATTGGGTATGCCCGCCTCGGGGCCTTTGCACTAGCTGCTCCCCGGCCTAGAACCACCCCTCCCCACATCCACCTTCTCACTGTTATTAAATCTCGCCCTCAATGTCGCTTCCTCACTGAGGCCTTCCTTGGCTCCTCTGTCACACGCTCTGACCCTCGGCCCCACTTTAGCTCCTCGCGTGAGAGTATCTGAGAAATCCTGCGCATGCGTGTGTGGTTCGACTCCCCGCTCCGACGCAGGCTGCCGGGGAGCAGGACCCACACGTGTCTGTCTCGTCCGCGGCTACACCCTCGGTACGAGAGCGGCGTGCGGCACACTGCTCCGTGAGGAGGCTGAAACGCAGAGCAGCCGACAACCTGGAAGCCTCCTCACTGAGTCTGTTCCTCTCCTCACCATGACACTCCAGCTCTCAAAAGCTGTTAGTAAAACTGAATGAGGAAGAAAGGCGGGAAAAAACCAGCACGCCCCTCTGCAGAGCAAGATCAACGTGGCTACGATTTCATTCTTTAGCTATGAGTTTAGGTTCAAAAACTGGAATAGGAAATGTCCAAATATCCTAGCGCCTGCTACAGCCTCACTGGCGGGTCCTTCCTTTCCTCCTGGGGGGTAAAGTGCTGTCTTCACGCCCCAGGGCGGAAGGCACCAACCAGAAAGCACGAGGGAGGGACAGGACCTCAGCGGCCACCTTCTGGGCCCTGGATTTACGAATGGGGAGGTGAGGCAGCTGCCCAAGGCTCCAGTTTAACAAGCTGTAACTTCACAAATCTAAGATGCCAGTGACTGTTAGATCCTTAAGCACCACTAAGAAAGGAAACAGAAAGATGCCTCCAACTGAAAACTAGGGTATACTATTGATTGCAGGAGACATCTGATGTTTGAGACATTAATATGGGGCAGGGGAGCCATGGGCTGATGTTCTGAGTCCCCCTAGAGCAGAGGTTCCCAACTTGGGCACTGGTGACATTGGGGCCGGGTGAATCTTTGTTGTAGGGCCAGTCCTGTGCACTGCGGGATGCCAGCGGCACTGCTGGCCTCCGCCCGCTAGATGCTGCAGCACCTTGCCTCGGTGCTCGGTGGTCGAAATGGCTCCAGACACACTGCCACGTGTCCCCGGCAGGCAAAATCACTGGAGTTGAGAACCACTGCGCTAGAGCAGGGAAAATGGGCACCTTTATGTGGCATGTTGCAAGCAAACAAAGGGCAGAAGCACTGAGTTAAGTAGGTTTCTTCGCTTCAGGCCTTGGAGCCTTCGGGCTGCGATGTGCACGCTGCCACTGCAGAGGGAGCAGAGGCGGCAGGGCTTCCCACCCATCTCTGGCCGCAAAGCCCGGCCTCCGAAGCGCACTGGGCAGACCCGAGCTTCGCAGGACTCCACCTTGGGAGACAGCACCCTAGGACCTGGGGGCGGAGGGAGAAGCAGCCGCCTACACACAGCCTAGGTTGGCCACCTTGGCGATGCTGGTCTCTGGATCTCACCTTCCCCACCCACTGCCCTGCCTTTCTCAGCTCCCCTCAGGGGCCCAGCCCCCGGCCCCCAGCCCGGAGTTGCTGGGTGAAGAAGGCAGTCTGCAAGCCCAGGCCCCGGGCCGGGGGCCGGAGCCAGCTCCTCTGAGCTCTCCTTCCGGGGGATGGCCACACCAACAGCAGAGAGGGGACAGGCTGGAGCCAGCAGAGCAGGCTTTGGAGAGGTAACTCTGGGACTCAAGGGGCAAGGCCTGACCGGCCCCGCCAATGTGGCAGGCGGCGGCAGTCACACCTGCCCTCTCCACACAGCCCCGTGGGAGCACTCTGGCCGGAAAAGACAGCGGGTTTCCTTTTTAGTGTCTGGCTGGCCTGAAGCCAGCCAGGAAGGAGGGCCACACCTCACATTATTCCGCCAGGCATTTCCATTGTTAAAAAACCACAGGCACCGTAAAGAAAGAGAAGGCAGCGTGAACTGCCAGCTTGCCTGCTGTCACTGCGGTGCTGAACGCGCAGATTTCTGGGGACTTGGTCTGAGAGCGGAGTGTTCATGCCGCCCTAGAAACCAGGAGCAAACGCCCAGGTCCCTGCCCGCAAGGGGCTTAGGTAAACTATTTAGACCTCTGACTGCTTTCGCCCCTAGAATTTGACGGACGCTGAGGATGTCACTGTGCCTTCCGCCTCTCCACCCCCGTCCAGCTACGAGCCCCTGTCGCATCCTCAAGCCATTACGGATTTCATCCCCATCCCAACCACAACCCGGACTCTGGTGCCCTGCCACCAGCCTGCCTCCGAAAGTTGAAAACCAACAACTGGGTTTCCACACCGTACGACGGTGGAGATATTGGTGAATACACTCCACACGGAAGCCAGGCTCTGTCTGCAATGGAAGATTCCACAAAAGAAAAAGAGAGACGACGTCCCCACCCTCAGGGAGATTACCACCTAGCACGGGAGAGTAGGCTGTCAACGAGCAGCAACAAAACAGCATGTGGCTGTGATCTGGAGTGACTGGACAAAGGCTCTTAACTGAGTGGTCAGGGAAGCCTTTTGGAGCAGGTGACATTTAGGACAGGTCCAAACCACAAGCACTCAGATGGTGTTCTCTCCTCTAACGTGTCCCGCAGCCTGTCTCCTGGACTCAGAACCAGATGTCTCCCAGGAGCCCCCTGGACAAACTCCCCGCCTATCACGGGAATTCCTACCTCAGCTGCCTCCGCTTGGTTACCTCTGCAGACAGAGAACTCATACCCTCACAAGGAATCCCATTTCCTCCCTGGACGTTCTGTTCAAAACCTGCCCTATAGAAATCTGCCTCCCTTCAGCTTCTACTCCTTGGCCCTCTATAAGAGCCACAGGGAGCATTTCTGTCCCTGCTTCGGGCCCTCCTGCCCCTGCCAGACAGGGAAGAGCTGTGGCATCTTCCCAGCCATCTCCTCTCCCCGGGCACCTGAGTAGGAGAGAGCCTGCGGCCACCAGAGCTGCTGTGGGCACTGCCGGGGGGGTGCCAACCCGCTGGGCAGCAGGCCTAGGCCCAGCCTCTCCCAAGCTCACGCTGTAGGATCCTGGGCCGGGTTTCAGGCTCCAGGACCCAGAGTCCCGGCCTTCCCATAGCAGGTGGGTGTGGGAGCCTCCCGGGGGCCCCGAACCGTGCGCGGACAGTACCTGTTGGAGGCAGAGAGCTCCTGTGAGGGCCAGGGCTGGCTGGAATCCCAGGAGAACTGCTGGGACGTTCCCAGGTGGTCTCTGGTCAAAGAAAGAAAAGAAACAAAAAATTGCTTTGAGAATGTCGCAAGGCAGAGCCCCAGAGTGTCAGAGAGCAGAACGAGACGGTCGGGGCTCAAGGAAACAGAGACTTGGCCGGTCAGCCTCCTCCCTAACCCTGGCCAGACAGGAGCCTGCTGTCCGCCCCCACGTCCACCTCCCCCCCGCACCCCACGGCAGCAGAGCACAGAGCGTCTCTCTGTGGCTGGGCCCAGGAGGAGGGGGAGGACATCTGGCCGGGACCTTCTGAAACGTCTCCCAGAGCTCCCCCGCCGCCAGGCTGCCAATTCATTCACCTCCACTTCTGTCCCAAGGGCTCCAACGCCACTCCACTGCTGCACCCCCAGCTGCCGACTGGACATCCCTCCCCGAATGCCACCTGAAACTCCAAAGCCACAGCAAGGAGCCCTGGCCCGGGGGTCTGTAAACAGACAGGGTCCTCTGCTGACTGGGGTGACTTCCAAGGTCCCTCCCGATTCCACAGGTCTACGTCTTGTTTGAACTATAACCTCTGCGCCTGCCAGGCCCCTCCCCCTTCCAGAGCCCAGCTATGCGCTTCAGCGCAGCTACCGTGTTGTCCCTGAACGCCACTTCACCCATCTCACTGCCGTGAGAAAGACGCCTTATAAAGTTATCCGGTGATAAAAATAATACTTTCTCACGGTACAGTGTGATCATGCAGGAAAACAGAGAAGAAAATAAGCCTCTCTGTCACCCCACCACGCAGAGGTCACCGCCGCCGCCACTCCGGTGCCCATATGCCGATTTGTTTTCTGAGCATATGTTCGTCCTTAAAACAAAACAAAATCAAGCTGCACGTTCATTTCCTGTACCGACTTTGGTGAGTATCTTTCCAAAATCATTGACGGGCTGGACAGCACAGAGGGCAAGCTCCGTTTGCAGCGCCCGGTCTAGTGGCAAACCGCCTGGGCTGGGGTCCAGCCCTGCCTCTCGCCCCCGGTATGACCTCCGCACCTTGGTTTCCTCCTGCGTAAAGTGAGTCTGATGACGGAATCCACCCGAGGGAGGTGCTGTGTCAATGCTAAATGCTCACATACAAGCTTCTAATGTGAAGGTAAAGTTAGTCTGACATGTGGATACAACATGACTTAATCAAAAATTCCATTACTGAAAATCTGACTGCTTCGAACAGTAAAAACAAAATTGGGTTGTTCACACAGCTTTGCTCCTAAACTGCTGTGCAGCACTGGACAAGTCACATCACCTCTCTGGGCCTCTGATTCTTCCCCTACAGAGACTGGGCTAATGGGACTCAGGCCCCAACTCCAGCCCTCCAGCTCTGATTGGCAGTCTTTGACTGGGTTAAAGAAGTGTGAACCCCGGGCTCCAGGAGCAGCGTTTAACATCCCTTTCTGTCTTAACAGACAAAAAACAGAGCTGAGGGTGAGTCCGGAAAGCTGTTGGGAGGATGTGAACATAAACAAGAGACCAGTTGGGTCTTCTATGAGGGGAGTCAAGGAGAGAGGGTGCCAGCGGGCTCAGGGGCTCCCAGAAAGACACGCTGGCTGGCAAGAGAGCACCCGGAACTGGGGACCTTACCACGAAGCCCGCTCCTCTCTGCTTAGGCCCAAGGGCCCCAGAAAACGTCCCTAAGCTGAGTGACCTCTGGAATCACCTGAAGTCTGTGTTTTGTTTTTCTCAACTATAAAATGCGGATGATAACCGGACCCAACCAGGGTTGCAAAGAGCACTAAGTGGGTTAACACGTGCAAGGCGCTTAGGGTAACCTTGGGCAGGCAGCCATCGCTTTATCAGCGTTGAACAGAACGAAGACACCAGCCAGGTCGAGGGTGCAAGGCGGGGGAGGTGAGAGGAGCACACAGCCTTCACATAAAGGGAGGCAGCGGGCCCCAGGGCAGACGCACCACCCAGCCTCGGGCTCCTTCTAAGGAGGCTTCTCTCCTGCCACGCGGTTGCCTCCAGGCCACAGGGCCACGCCTAGGCTCTCCTCTCCCACCTCCCTGCTGGGTCCCCGGACAGAACCCGGCCAGCTTCACCAGCAACTCCCTTTGTCACCCCCCTGCAACTGGTCCCCAGGGCCTGGAGACGCTCCCCTGAGTTACATTCCACGGCGCCTCCCGCCCCCCATCTCTGCCACGTGTAATCTGCCCCACAAAGCTGGTCGACCGAGTGAGGCCCCAGTGCTCTCACAGGAGATCACCGACCAGCAGAAACCCCTGGCTGGCCCCTTTCCAACACGGCATGCAGAAAAGGTTCCAAACCCCGCAGTGCCCCTGGCGAGGAGCTCCGGAGTCCAGGCCTGTCCGTCCGCCTGTGCCGACCAACGTCCCACTGGCTTCACTCCAGGCCCAGTCACCCTGATGGGCTGATCTCTGAACACGCCTTTCCTGTGTGGTCCACTCACCCGTGCCACCTGCTTCCTTCCCATCCCTGGGTCACGTCTTGTTCTTTCATCCAGTCTCAACTCAAATGCCTCTCCTGCCATGCAGCCTTCCCAGATTGCTTTCCTTGTCGGCAGTCAAACCTCCAAACGCTCTAAGTGCGTGCTGTGGGGTACACCCCCAAACCCTGCCGCAACAGAGGGGCACAGCTGAGTCCCTTCTCAGGGCAATGTCCTGGGCCGAAGGGAGCTGCTTTACCAAGGCCACGCCTGGCGTTGGGGATGCGGGGTGCATATCTAATCACTGGGGCATCAAAGGGGCATCGAAGGCCCACCAATCCCCTTGCTGCACGGCAGACAACTCTGAAGGGCCCTCCCGGCTTAGAGCTTTCCAGGGGGCTGCCCCAGGCCTTTCTGGTGACTGAATTGTTAGTGTGATGCTGCTTCCTCAAATTTGTCTGGGAACCTAAGACCCCCTCAATGCTCACCTTCCGCCCAGCACCCTTCTAGGAAGCCGGCACTCCGCCTGCCCCTCAGGCGGCACCGATCTTAACCTTGGCGTCCACCGCGTCTCCGTGGGGGCTGGCGAGCGGCTCTCTGGGAAAGTCGGATGCGGCACCTGGCCTCATGGGGACGGGCATGGACGGCACAGGCAGATCCCCACCCGGTGCTTTCCTCAGCTCTCTAGGAACAGAGGGAAGCCCCCTTCCTCCTAAAAGCCCTCACAGAACCGTCCCCTGTGTGCTGCTGCCTCCACCCCTTTGGCAGCAGATGCCACTGACCTTGTTTTAAAGGGAAGCCCCGCCCGCTGGCGTGGGGACCCTGCCGTCTCACCTGCTGGCTGTGACAGGGCTCCTGACTCGGGCACCGACTCCTCTTTGTCCCATCCGAGTGTTAACCAGCCCCGCCCCTGCTTCGCTTCCGCGACCAGACAAGACCGGGCGTGTCCAGGGTGGTATGGCCACAGACTG